CCTCATTTTTAGACGAGCGCCCTGCGCCGTCCTTCATTCTTAGACGAGCGCCCAGCGCCGTCCCTCATGTTCAGACGAGCGCCCAGCGCCGTCCCTCCTCTCAGACGAGCGCCCAGCGCTGTCCATCATCTCAGACGAGCGCCCAGCGCCGTCCCTCATTCTCAGACAAGCGCCCCAGCGCCGTCCATCATCTCAAGACCGGCTTCCTCAGCGCCGCGAGTCTTGAGCTAGCGATCGGGCTCGTCATCCCTTCCCGGATGGTGACCGTCGCCTCTATATGACGATCGGCTTCACCATCGCCTCGTCATCATTGTTTGGACCGACTCCTCATCGTCGTCGTCCTCATATCACGACCGGCCCCTCGGCCTCGGCGTGATTATCTATCTCAAGACCGGCTTCCTCAGCGCCGCGAGTCTTGAGCCAGCGATCGGGCTCGCCATCCCTTCCCGGATGGTGACCATCGCCTTTATATGACGATCGGCTTCATCAGCGCCTCGTCATCATATTATAAGACCGGCTCCTCATCGCCGTTGTCCTCACATCACGACCGGCCCCTCGGTCTCGGCGTGATCATCTATCTCAAGACCGGCTTCCTCAGCGCCGCGAGTCGTGAGCCAGCATTCGGGCTCGCCATCCCTTCCCGGATGGTGACCATCGCCTTTATATGACGATCGGCTTCATCAGCGCCTCGTCCTCATATTATAGGACCGGCTCCTCATCGTCGTCGTCCTCATATCACGACCGACCCCCTCGGCCTCGGTGTGATTATCTACCTCAAGACCGGCTTCCTCAGCGCCGCGAGTCTTGAGCTAACGATCGGGCTCGCCATCCCTTCCCGGATGGTGACCATCGCCCTTATATGACGATCGGCTTCACCATCGCCTCGTCATCATTGTTTGGACCGACTCCTCATCGTCGTCGTCCTCATATCACGATCGGCCCCTCGGCCTCGGCGTGATTATCTATCTCAAGACCGGCTTCCTCAGCGCCGCGAGTCTTGAGTCAGCGATCAGGCTCGCCATCCCTTCCCGGATGGTGACCATCGCCTTTATATGACGATCGGCTTCATCAGCGCCTCGTCATCATATTATAGGACCGGCTCCTCATCGTCGTTGTCCTCACATCACGACCGGCCCCTCGGTCTCGGCGTGATCATCTATCTCAAGACCGGCTTCCTCAGCGCCGCGAGTCTTGAGCCAGCGATCGGGCTCGCCATCCCTTCCCGGATGGTGACCATCGCCTTTATATGACGATCGGCTTCATCAGCGCCTCGTCATCATATTATAGGACCGGCTCCTCATCGCCGTTGTCCTCACATCACGACCGGCCCCTCGGCCTCGACGTGATCATCTATCTCAAGACCGGCTTCCTCAGCGCCGCGAGTCTTGAGCCAGCGATCGGGCTCGCCATCCCTTCCCGGATGGTGACCATCGCCTTTATATGACGATCGGCTTCATCAGCGCCTCGTCCTCATATTATAGGACCGGCTCCTCATCGCCGTTGTCCTCACATCACGACCGGCCCCTCGGCCTTGGCGTGATTATCTATCTCAAGACCGGCTTCCTCAGCGCCGCGAGTTTTGGGCCAGCGATCGGGCTCACCGTCCCTTCACGGATGGTGACCATCGCCTCTGTATGAAGGTCGGCTTCCCCATCGCCTCGTCATCATTTATTTGGATCGACTCCTCATCGTTTTTGTCCTCATATCACGACCGGCCCCCTCGGCCTCGACGTGATTATTTATCTCGAGACCGGTCTTAGTCATTCCTTTACCGAGTGACGACCGTTGCATGGATTTTTGGACCGGCCCCTCATCGCCGTCGTCCTCACATCATGCCCGGCCCCTCGGCCTCGGCGTGATTATCTATCTCAAGACCGGCTTCCTCAGCGCCGAGAGTCTTGAGCTGGCGATCGGGCTCACCATCCCTTCCTGGATGGTGACCGTTGCCTTTATATGACGATTGGCCCACCATGGCCTCGTCATCATTTATTGGAACGGCTCATCATCGCCGTCATGCTCACATCGCGGCAGACCCCTCGGTCTCAACGCGATCTTGAGCTAGCGACTGGGCTCACCATCCCTTCCTGGATGGTGACCATCGCCTCTATCTGACGGCCGGCTCATCATTGCCCCGTCATCATATTTCGGGTTGGCTCTTTTCATCGCCATCCGCGCATCACGACCGGCCCCTCGGCCTCGGCGTGACTATCTATCTCAAGATCGGCTTCCTCAGCGCCGAGAGTCTTGAGCTAGCGGTCGGGCTCGCCATCCCTTCCTGGATGGTGACCATCGCCCTTATATGACGATTGGCTTCATTCTTGCCTCGTCATCATATTATCGGATCGGCTCATCATCTCCGTCCGCACATCACGATCGGCCCCTCAGCCTCGGCGTGATTATCTATCCCCAAGACCGGTCTCAGTCATTCCTTCATCGGATGGCGACCGCTGCTTGGACTTTTGGATCAGCCTCATAGTGCTGACGACCTCGCATCACGATCGGCCCCTCGGCCACGACGTCACACCCTATCCCAACACCGGCTTCCTCAGCGCCGAGTGTGTTGGGCTAGCGATCAGGCTCGCCATCCCCTCCTGGATGGTGACTATCGCCTCTATATGATGATCGGCTCCATCATCGCCTCGTCATCATATTTCGGACTGATTCCTCATCATTGTCATCTGCACATCGCGATCAGCCTCTCGGCCGCGACGTGATTATTTATCTCAAGACCGGCTCCCAGCGCCGAAGTCTTGTTATAGCGATTGGGCTCGCCATCCCTTCCCGGACGGCGACCGTCGCTCCTATATGACGCACGGCTCATCATTGCCTCGTCCTCACATTTAGACCGGCCCCAGCGCCGAAGTCCTTATCTAGCGACCAGGCTCGCAATTCCCTTCCTGGATGGTGACCGTCGCCTTGATACGACGCATGGCTTATCATCGCCTCGTCCCCATATTCGGACCGGCTCACCAGCGCCATCGTCCCCATATTCGGACCGGTTCGTCAGCGCTGTCGTCCTCATATTCGGACCGACTCATCAGCGTCGTCGTCCTCATATTCAGACAGGTGTCCACCGCCTCGTCCCCCTATTCAGATACAGCGAACATCTTGCGGTCTCCGGCCGAAAGGCTAAAGGAGCCCAGAGTTCAGCCATATATCGCTCTGTCATCTTTATTTGATGATGAAGAGCTCATTTGTAGGCCCATCGGCCATATATCGCTCTGTCATCTTTATTTGATGATGAAGAGCTCATTTGTAGGCCCATCGGCCATATATCGCTCTGTCATCTTTATTTGATGATGAAGAGCTCATTTGTAGGCCCATCGGCCATATATCGCTCTGTCATCTTTATTTGATGATGAAGAGCTCATTTGTAGGCCCATCGGCCATATATCGCTCTGTCATCTTTATTTAATGACGAAGGGCTCATCTACAGGACCATCAGCCATATATCATTCTGTCATCTTTATTTGATGATGAGGAACTCATTTGTAGGCCTCTGAGCCACATCTTGCTGCGTCATCTTTATTTGATGACGCGAAGCTCAGTTGCAGGCCCATCGGGCATATATCGCCTCGTCATCTTTATTTGATGACGTGAAGCTCATTTACAGGCCCATCGGCCATATCTCGCTCTGTCATCTTTATTTGATGACATGGCGCTCTCATATAGGCCTCTCTCGGCCATACATCACCCCGTCATCTTTATTTGATGATGTGGGGCTCTCATGTAGGCCCCTCGGCCGCACCATCACCCCGTCGTCTTTATTTGACGACGTGGAGCTCTTATGCAGGCCTCTGAGCCATACATCACCCCGTCGTCTTTATTTGACGACATGGAGCTCTTATGCAGGCCTCTGAGCCATACATCACCCCGTCGTCTTTATTTGACGACGTGGAGCTCTTATGCAGGCCCCTCGGCCGCACCATCACCCCGTCGTCTTTATTTGACGACGTGGAGCTCTTATGCAGGCCTCTGAGCCATACATCACCCCGTCGTCTTTATTTGACGACGTGGAGCTCTTATGCAGGCCTCTGAGCCATACATCACCCCGTCGTCTTTATTTGACGACGTGGAGCTCTTATGCAGGCCCCTCGGCCGCACTATCGCCCCGTCGTCTTTATTTGACGACGTGGAGCTCTTATGCAGGCCCCTCGGCCGCACCATCGCCCCGTCGTCTTTATTTGACAACGTGGAGCTCTCGTACAGGCCTCTCGGCCCATCGGCCTTACGTTCTGGTCATCTTTATTTGATGAACCAGATATCATATTGTGGACGGTCGCTCGACCCATCCCTTAGTCATCTTTATTTGATGACTAGGACTACTGATCATGATGAGCTACCCACATCTAGAGATCGGCCTCGACCATCCAGCAGACGGGCACCGCTGCAGCTCCATCTCCAGGCCGAAGGGCTCGCACCTTTTGTTTCATTTTGGGGGCATCCGGTGTACTCTTTTTCCCTCATTAGGATTTTTTCCCACAGGGTTTTTCCTAATGAGGTTTTTAACGAGGCATCTCCCCATCGTGGATCAAAAGGTGTCAACCCTCGGCCCCCTGTTGAAGACATCATCCGACACGCATTACTCTACTCCTCTTCACCTCATTACACTCGCCTCAAGGAGTGGGGGACTGGGAGAGCGGGGGACTTAGCGCCTCCGTTAACCAAAGAAGCAGAATTTCAAATTTTTGTTCATGAAGTTTACTCACCAGACGGCGACAGATCAGCACACAGTTCTACTCTCTTTCGCCTCGAATACTCTCGACTCAGAGAGTGGGGGACTCCTGATAGAGTATATAGACTCGGACCCCTGGGTCTCACGACTATTGGGCCCGGACAGCGGCCCACACACATCTTACGGATATCATTTGTATTATTGTACTGCTTATATGTCATTTGTATACTAGATTAGTCTTTTATGTAGTTGGGCTACCGGGCCCATATTAGCGGCCCGGCCCGTTATTCCTCTATTTATACTCCTTTTGGAGCTTGTAAACCCTAGATCTAAATTCATTATCATTCTATTATTCATCTTCTCCACAATACTTGAGCTCAAATCTCTACATTTTATACATACTTGGATCCCTACAATCAATCAGTATGATATTGGGAGGGTTGTGGAGGAGTGCTTGAATTCTTGGGGAATCAAGAAAATATTTACTATAACTGTTGACAATGCATCTACTAATGAAACTGCTGTTGGGTATATGATAAAAAGGATGAAGTCCTTAAATACATTGCTGCTAGATGGTGAGTACTTGCATGTTAGGTGTTGTTGTCATATTCTTAATCTCATTTTGCAAGATGGACTTTCTGAATTGAATAAAGAGGTTGTTTGCATTCGTAATGCAATTAAGTTCATCAAATCTTCACCGGCTAGGTTAGAGAACTTTAGAAAGTTTGCTGTACGTGAAGGTTTTGATAAAAATGTTAATGTTGGAATGGATGTATGCACTAGGTGGAATTCCATATACAACGTGCTAGAAAGAGGACTCAAATTCTCTAAGGTTTTTGATAGGATGGCTGAAGAGCACAAACCTTATAGTGATTGGTTTTTTGAGAAGCATAAGAGTGGGGCTTATTTGAGGCAGGGGCCTCCTCTAGGAGATGATTGGGAGCGTGCTAAGGCTTTTGTTTATTTCTTAAAGAAATTTTATGATGCCACTTTGAGGTTGAGTTCCTTTAAGAGTCCTACTTCTCACATTGTGTTTGAGGAGATGGTTACTATTCAACTTGAGATACAGAAAGCTGTGGATGATAATAACAATCTTCCCTTGAAAAGGGTGGCAACTTCAATGCTATCTAAGCTTAACAAATATTGGGGCTCGGTTCAGAAGATTAATCATTTGTTTATTGTTGGGAATGTTCTTGATCCTAGATGGAAATTAGGATACCAAAAAATCCTTCTCGAAAAGTGTGGTGTGCCGAAGGATGATATTGAAACCACTAAAAGCTTGATTAAGCAGATTTTAATGCGCTTTTATGAAGCCTATAAAGCTTTTGAGCCTGCTCCAGCGCAAAGTGCTTCTAATACACCGGCTGGAGAAGTAAACTTGGGGCAAATTGATGATTGTGATACTAGAGCAGCAATGAGGGCAGCTTACTTGCACCAACAAGCTAACCAAACTGTTCAAATCAATAATGAAGTTGATGCATATCTGTGTGATCCATGTGAAGGCAGTTTGAATCAGTCTTTCTGTTTGCTCTTCTGGTGGAAAGTTAATTCATCAAAGTATCCTATCTTGGCAAAGGTGGCAAAAGATGTATTCGCAATGCCTTGCTCCACTGTTGCTTCAGAAAATGCATTTAGTTTGGGAGAAAGGACTGTGAATTATTTTAGATCTTCTTTGAGTCCAAAAATGGTTGAGGCGCTGGTATGTTCAAATGATTGGATCAAAGCTGATGACTTCAACTTTTTCAAAGAGCCAACTAAAGAAGAAGAAGAAGAAGAGTTCTATAAAGAGTGTGAAGAAGTAGAAAATGGTATGATTGTATAATTGCTTACTACACTAGTTTTTACATTATTCTGATTATTAAGTTTGCAAACATTTTTGTATAGACAGATTTTCTAATTAGTGTTATCATGTTTTAATTTGTCTTAGGAGTGGCTGGACTCGAACTTACTGGCTCGACTTTAGATTATGCTGAAACAATTCCAAATGTTCACCTGGGTCTTCTTAGTTCTTAAGTTCATCTGAAATGTTCTTTTGAGTTTGAACTTTTTTGAAGCAGAAAATGGTATGATAGGTGTTATTCTTTCTTCAGTTGGTAAGGTTGTTGTTCTTTCTTCATTTTTCTCCCTTGGTCAAATTTGTCGGAGTGCAGAGTGCTTTCCTTTTTCCTTTCATACTTACATTTTGTTTGATTCAATAGAAGCTAAGTTTGTCAGTTTTTGTATTCTCGCAAATCACATTTACATTTGCTCTAAAGAAATTGAAAAGTAACTTCTATTAAATTTTGTTTAGTGAAATAGTAACTTCTATGTTCAAAGTTTTTGTTTTTTGCTTGATGTTTCATTTAAGTATTAACAATGATTGAAGTAGACAGAAACACATTTAAAAATGATTAAATATTCAATTTTTTATATTCTCATAATCTGTAAGTTTTTATTACACCAATTTTTGTGATATTGTGATTATTCAATTAGTGAATATTATTTGTTATAGACTATCCTTCTAATTAACGTTATCATGGTTTCATTTTTTGCTAGGGGCAGTTGGCTTGATTTGAGATGTGCTACGTCAAGTTCTGATATTCTATGGAAACAAGTCCAAATACTCACTTGGGATCTTCTAATATGCTTTGTTTTTGAATCCATGTTAAAGAAAAACATCATTTTGTCAGAACTTTGTTCTCCTAAGTCTGAATTTTTTGCTGTTGGGATTTTGCTAGTATTTATGTTTGGCTCTTCATGAGTCTTTTGGATCAGTACTTTTTTTGTGCTTGAAATTGAAATATTGTTGCTTTATAGCCTTTGAATTATTGATTAAATAGTTTTGCTTTGACTACTATAATAAATAGAAAGTGTGAAGTCGTGAAGATTGAATCGAGTCGATTGATTATCGAACATTTTTTTGAATACCTTTTTTAATAAAAAATTGATATTTTTTTATTGGGTTTAACCGATCCTACCCGAACCCGGATCGAACCTGAACCTCAAAAAACCCGGCTTGGACCGAATATGTCGGGCTTTTTTTCGGTCCATTTTTTTCATAACCCAAAAAGTTTCGGGTAATTTCCGGGTAGAGTAAAAACCCGGCCCGACCCGGACCGATCCCACCCATAATTCCAGTATACAAACTGGTACACCTAAACATACGTATTAACAAAAAAAGTGTTTTAAAACATAATTTTGTTTAATTGAGATGTATTAAAAGTAAGGAGTTAGTGTAAAATAATGTAAATCAGAAAAACCAAAAAAAAAGAAAAAAGAAAAGTTACAATGGAAATTATATATTGAAATGACACAATTGAAAGCTTGTAGTCTATTTAAAAAAAGGTTGTAGTCTTTACTCATTATATGAAGTACATAAACAATAACAAAAAAGTGGCACTACAGACTACAAATTTCCATGATTTATATTCAACTAAAATCACACCACTACAGATGTTGTGGTAAAACCAACATTTATTAGGAATATAGCCATTGTACAAAGTCAACAAATAACCCATTATATGATTAATCCACTAATAAAATGAAATCTTATTAAGTATAAATGCATTTAAAGGAACTAATTATGCCAACAATATAAATGCACTAACACTATATAATGAAAAGTAAAACTGAGTTTGGAAACAATAAAATAAGGTCATCAAGTCTTATTATTATAGAAACTAACATTCCAATAACATCTCTTCTTATTCTGGCAATAATAAAAACTAGAGGACTCTAAAAACTATGTAAAGGCAGTCAATTTGTATCAACTGGAAGAGCCTTACGGCAAGTCTTCTTATTGTGCCCAAAAACTTTGCAGCGAGAACACTTCCGACGTTTGGAATAGACATGTTCTCCAATTGATGGGATTCTGGACTTTTTTGGACGCCCTGGTGGTCGCTTCAAACAGATAGGAGGCTTGCAAATAGTACTTGAAACATCAGAAGGAATGACCCAATCTTAGGGATCTCCAATTGGGTGCATTATACCACTCCAAGTTGCCAACAATTGTTCTCGTGTGTAATAATAGGATATGTAACTGTAACAGGATAGACCAGAGCGTGAACCTATTGCAGCCACAGCATGAACACACACAAAATGATCTAATTGAAACTGCCCACAAGTGCATATCCTTGAATTAAGGTTGACCACAAAGCATCTACATTTCCTGTCAATGACCTCAAACTCATATTCACAAGATGCATTCACCTAAAAAAAAATGTAAGAGCACAACTAAGAAAAAATAGGATCATAAAAGCTGAAAATAAGAAGATATATAAAAAGAGAAAAGTAAAAGTAGGTAGTATAAATTTTTGGCAATAGGATATTTTAAATGCCAAATACTAATAAAGAACAAAATGCATTAACAAGTAATTTTCATACAACTAAAACATACCTTCATACGACTTGATTCAAATTGTAAGGAAACCAGAAGCTTTTCATATTTTCAGAGAGCTTTGTACATGTAGATTGAGCTACTTCTTTTCTTACTTTAAACCATTCTTGCATTCTTTCACGCAAAAAATTGATGACTTTGGAAACACAGTACTGTCTTGCATAAGCATTCATACTATTTAAAGATTCAACACAGTTCGAGGTCATCACATTAAATCTATTGAAACCAGACATACATTTAGCCCATTTTTGAATGCCAACTTTTTCTAACCATGGGCGTATTCTGGCATCTTGAGTATCTAAGAGTGACATGTAATACTCATACTGTTTCACAGTTGAAGCCGAATATGCATCTTTAAATTTTCAACCCAAATCTTTTGCAGAGCCTCTGAATTTTGATGTCATATTGCGGCGTAAGTGTTCAACACAAAAGCCATGACCAGCATGTGGAAATATTTTATGAACAGCACTAAGAATCCCTTTATGCCTATCAGATATGATATACATGTCAAAACGATATTGAATACATGAACCAACCTTCGATAAGAACCACCGCCACGTTGCTTTACTTTCAGACTCACATATACAAAAAACTATAGGAACGATTTGATTATTTGCATCCTCAGCACAAGCTGTCAACAAGGTGCCTTTGTAATATGATTTCATGAATGACCCATCCAAAATGAGCACGGGCCTACAATACAGCCACACATCTCTCCAAGGACCAAGTGACATGAAAAAATATTGAAAAGCATCATCTGCACTTGTAATAAGCGTAACAACATATCTTGGATTTGTCTTATTTAGCATGTAAGCAATTGAAGGCAGCATCTGGTAAGACTCAGAATCAGAACCAAATTACATTTCCATTGCTTTCTTCCGAGCTTTCCATGACTTCTTATATGACATTGAAATACCATAATACATGCTCATCTCAGCTATGAGTTGTTGAGGTGTGTACGGGTTTTTAGAAGCATCCAAAAATTTATGTGCAACCATATTTGCAATGACATCATATGTTGATTGCCTATGTTTGCCCTGTCTATAATCAAGAGAGCAAACATGTTCTGGATCATACCTGGAGAGTAAAAAATATACAGTTCATAAAAGCTAAGAGGTAGATATTGCATTCAAAATCAACAACGTAAACACAAAATGCCATGATAATGGCATCTCAAAGAACAAGGAAACTGAATACATATCTGAAAAGATTTAAAAGACTAATTTGTATACTATATATTCTGAAATATTGAATATTAATGCAAAGCAAAGAAAAATATAATAATAGAAAAAGTGTAAGCACAAAACCTAATACTGCAGATGTATAATTAAAAAGAAAAAGAAAAAGCAAAAATATAAAAGAAAAGAAGATATGTGAAGTAACCTGCGGATCTGAAACATCTGAACACCATTCAATTTGACAGCACGAAGAGCCCAATCACAATCCGGATCTTAACATGCAAAGTATGTTTTTTTGAAGTCTTGGTTCTGTATTGAAAGTTTTTACTGATGGCAAACATCTTCAAATGATATATCAGGTCACGCTTATTGTTGTATATAGCATGTAGAGCAATGCAAGTTGGATGTTGATGTGTGAGAACTTCCAGATTGTGGAAACTATAATCTGATTTAGGAGATGGTGAGAGAGATTCATCTGAAAACGTATCACTGTCTTCTGAATGTGAGTTGCTTCCATTGACCACAGAAGTTATTAAATCACTATGTGATGACAAAGATTCAGAAGGAACGCCATCACCAAAATCAAAGTCACAGTGTTTACCACTAGTAGTTCCTTGACAAATAATGTTGGAAGAAGATTGACCAGAAGAAATATATGACTGATAGCATGGATTATGTTGCTCCTCAGAATGAATGGTAAGAGTATTTGTGGAATAAAACTCCACACATAAAGGAAACTTATAAGGATCAGATTATATCAACTTAAGGTCAAGGTAAAATCTAAAACTGGACTCATCATTAATTTTAATAGGATGAGGGGAACCTTCAACAAAATAGGACAGTATGAATTTATGATGAGGTCTATACTGAAGAAGCATCTCCGTAAACATTGCAATAAACGAATCATATGTTGCAAGAGAGCGGACATGAATAGCATACGTATCGGTATGATTAAACGTAAAGTCAGAAGACCAGCTACCATCCAACTTCAGCATAACAAATACAACAACATCCATCAAACTGAAAATACATATATACACAAGGAGAAAAAAGTAAGCACAAGACAGAGAAAACATGGCAATCAATATATAAAAATGACAACGATAAAAAAGACAATAAAAATATGGCAATAACTAAACATTAACAAACATAAAACCTCATTCAGTGGACATTACAATTCAGAAAATAAACACACATGAAAACAATGGCAACGACAAAACAACAGAACAATAAAGAATCACAAATCAAAACTGCAGAAGAAATTATCAAATTCAACTAAAAAGACCATGAAATCAGCTGTTGATTACATCGAAAAAGAAATAACAAAAACTAAGCGCAATACATGAACAATTACAAATTAACGATTGAATTAAGATTAAATATTAAAAACTAAACGATTGAATTACGTACCTGGAAATTTGAGGTCCAATTGAACTAATGTCGGATTGTGCGCTATCAAGGTCGATGAATGATGTTAGTTTTCTCGCACTTAAAAAGATTGTAATATAGCGGTGAAAGTACGAGTATCGTCTCCACAGGGATGGTAAAAGGGAATTAAGGACTAACTAAAATCAGCGATAAAGAATAAATAAAACAAATGCGGTCGTGCGAGATTTGGTTGACTGAGAAAAATAAAATTGCAAATAAACGACTAAAAGTAAATATTTGGGTTCTTCTTAATTAACGACGAAGGGAACAGGGATTGATTCTGGGGTAATCAGATTTCTGGCAGATCAGGCTTAATTACATTAATTTAATTTAATTGAGCCTAGCCAATCAATACTAAGTTCTTACCGCTCTCGCGACATACAGTACAATAATTTAGGGGACCAAACTGATCTCTCATGCGACAGGATCCTAAATTATTGTCAAAGTGAACGAGCTTACGGCCCCTTAATCGCTACTAATCTCTTAGCGAACGATTAAGTGTGTGTGAATGTGTCCTAGAATAAATTAGATCTCTATTAATTCATCCTACATGCGATTGTAATTCTAGTGGCCATCTAGGTTACAAAAGATATCAATTAAATTACTCAAACACAAATTAAACGGCATTCATGCAATTTACACCATCAAGAACCTAACCATACATCGTGACTAACCCCTTCATCAATCCCAAATCCCTAATTAAAACTACTCCCGACTCATAATTGAAGAATCAATAGAATTGAGAAGAATAGAAATAATTGCAATTAATTAAAAAGTAGGAACTTACAAAGAATCTCAAAGAATAGAAAAAACCAGGGCTAAAAGCTCTT